CATTCTAAAATTTGTTTTACAAGTCTTGACTGTGTAACACCCGCAGCTGGGGGATATTATCCAAATACCCCAATTGCATAGAAGTTGTGTCCAATAAATGATCAACCACATTGTTAGAAGTTCTTGAGAAGAAAATAATCAATTGGGAAAGCTACAATAGCACACAAGAAATTCACTGCAGGACACAGCTAATATATTCAAAAGCCGACATCACCAAAACTCTTGAGTTTTGACTTCCCTCTGGCAGAGCCCTTGGCTATATCAGGTTTTAGCTTTATCAGTGCCAGCTGAATTCCTACTTCATATTTCTGTGCTTATAGCACAAACTAATCTCAAACTTGAGGACTATGTCTCATTATAAAGTAAAGTCATTTGGATAGTATGTATCAATAGATGAATTAGATAAATAGACATTAACTAGACCAGAGTGCCCAGAAACATACCTGGAGAAAACATTTTCTTCACCTAAAATAAACCTCCTGAAAACATACATATAATAACATTATACAGACGAAGCCATTTATGAATATATGTATATATATGTTTATATGCATATATATAAAGATATAACAACAATTAATAAAAAAAGAGGCCATGACTTTGAAAGAGAGCCAGAAGGAGGGATATACTGGTAGGTTTATAGAAAAGGAAGGGAAGGGGTAATGATGGATTTTATTATAGTCTTAAAAATAAAAGACAATTAAATATTAAGCTGAATATTATTTTTGCTTCAGTAAAGGAACAGAAGAATTGTTTGCATTCTCCCTTATGTCAACCAACACAGCTTTTAATTCCATGTAACAGGCAAATTATAAACATTCTGAAAATATTTTCTTAAGTTGCAGTGGAGTCTCCATCAGTGAACAGTGCCAATCCACATAGCTCCAAAACTAGGGCTTGCAGGATGGCTCAGCAAATGAAGGCACCTGCTGCAGGCCTGCAGCCCTGAGTTCTAGCCCTAGGAACCCTAGGGAGAGGGACAGAGATGACTCCTGCAAGTTGTCCTCTGACCAACAAAGGGAATGTCGGCACACATATCACTGCCCCCAATCAATCACTCATTGGAATAAATATAATATGATAAAACAAAGTCATTCCTAAAAATGTATATTGAACTAAAAACAAACAAGGAAACTTTCCACAGAAATAAAAACAAGTGTTTGGTCCCTGATTCCGTGCTTCATCCTGAGTGTTCATACCCCTCCTCCATGTTTTAAAACTCATTTCTGAAACACGCCCAGTTGCATGGCCTTGAGTCAAGGGGTAGTATCACAGGAATGTCTAGGGGGAGATTTTGCACCATCTCTAATATGGTGTCTTGTCATTCCTCTGTATTTACCAGTATCTTGTCCCAAAACTGAAGAAGATAACAGAAGATAAAAAGATTATCCCTTGCTCAAGAATTGGTAGGATTAATATGGTAAAAATGAACAGGCTATAAAATATCACTTTGATTCTATCCTTTTTCAGCAAAATAAAATTTATAAGGCTTCTGATATTACTAAGAAAACAATCTCACAGAAAACTTCCTGATTCTTTGGTTTTTACACTCTTCTCTCTCTCTTCTGCAATGTTCCCTAAGCCTTACCCATAAAGCCTCATTGACACGACTGCCCACATGTTAGCTGAACAAGGATAACACCCATGTACACGAGAAACTGAATGGGGAAAAGTCCCTGAGGGCCGAACTCTAGACAAAGAAACACAGGCAACTGAGGAAAGCTGGGAGGGGTAATTGTGGTCATCCCTAGGGAAGAACACACCAATTGGTTGTCCTGTACCAAACAGTCATCCCTGAAAACAAACATACAAGTAACTTTATCCTGACTTAACAGTGAATATTTAGGAATATATATGTATATACATACATGTGTGCAATAACACTTGATGAAAAAAGTGGCCATGAATGTTAAGAAGAGTGGTGAGGGGTATATGGGAAGATCTAGGGAAATGAAATGGGAGAAATGTTGTAATTAAATTATAATTCAAATATTAAAAATAATAGATCATGAATGATTTCTCTAAGTAAATTAAAACTTTCATCGTGACCACACACTCTCAGATTTCCAGGTGAGCAAAAGACATAATTTAAAACCAGCGTTCTTGAACATGGTATATGTTAAGTGGAAGACTGAGAGCTTCTCCTAGTCCACTGTGTTGGTTTATTCTTGAGCCAGAAGCGTGCTTTGCCAAGTACTGTCTTCAATGCTGCTCAGGGTTCTGTCTATTGATTAGTGTATCCAGGGTCATGACAATAATCTCTCATAATATGTGGCAGTTATCAGAAGGTCATTTAGTTGTACAATCCACATCAGTATGACATGGGTCTGGACTGTAGTTTAGTGGTCAGTGTCTGCATTCCTACTTTACCTACCCTTTTGTTAAACAGATATTCTTGAATGTTACAGTAATATAATTTCTGAGATTAGCTAATATCTGAGAATGTATTCATTTTTTTTCATCAAGTATTTAGTGATTTTGACAGGACACATTGAGAAATAATACCTACATTTCACATTCTGATAAAACTTACATTTTTAGCATGAGTGATAGAAATTTGTTATATCATATATATGTATATATGTATGTATGTATATATAAACAAAAATATTTAAGAACTGCAAGTAATATTTTTGCATTTTATTTTATTAACAATTTCATACAAAAGTACTGTTTTCATCATTTCCTCCCCACCATCTCCCCTTCTCGCAGACACACACACAAAGTTGGATGGATTGTTATTTACACAATACCTTAAATTCCAATTGTGCTGAAGATGGTTACTTATGACTCAAAAAAGCTAATTTTCCTATCTATAAAATTAGGTTAAAAACTTACCAAATGAAATGTTATATGCAAAGTACTTAACAATGGACCTCACACTTGAGAAAAGATGTAATCAATGGAAGAATTAAATGCCAGTGTGCAGTGGGACACAAGTGTGAGCGCAGATGATGATGATGATGATGATGATGATGGTGGTGGTGATGATGATGATGTTGATGACAATGATGATGATGATTTTGATAATTGTGATAATGAACATTGTGATTTAACAATTCGAGGCTCACCTTCTGAGAACATCTCTGAATATCTGAGGATTTCAAAGCCCTGTTTATTCAGCAGCATTTCCTGCTGCTGGAAACAGTAGCTGGACCCTCCCTGCTGTTGGAGACACTGGCTCTCCAATCCCTGTTGGTGGTGAAAGTGGCTTTATCAGAAGGGTCAGGTTTCTCTCCCTGGCAACAGAACATTAAGAACTCTGTGTTTGTATCTCTACAGCCATGTGCTCCTTGTTCAACCTCTGAGCTGTCTGCTTTGTAATTTCAGATGCCCGGGCTGTATCATTTCCATTTACCTTTATGCTTGTGTGATCACCATGCACTGACTTTCAAAGGGATAAAAAGTATCTGGCAAAAGTGGTATCGATGAGTATCTCAGAGTAAATTCTGTGAAATAATTAGTGGTGATCTTTCAAAAACTATTAAATTACACCTACTTGATGAAGTTGTAAGGGGGCTGGAGATACTAACAAAACAAGTAAGTACTCGTATTAACTATTTGAAGTTTTGAGCTCAGAGACTAGAAATACTTCCCTTATGAACTCATTCAAACATAAAAAATAAGATTGTCTTCAGTTAAGAATACCAAGATATTGCTTTTGCAAACAGTGTTGTCAGAGCTACTAAACTAAGTATGAAACTTGAAGGAATTACAGATAAATACAGTTTCAGAAATCTGTTCATGTAATGGGAGTTCAGAAGAAAAGACTAATAAAGTGATTCTTGTGGTGGTATTGTATTCTTCAAAATATTGTGCACCCTAATAAATTTATCGGGGGTCAGAGAACAGACAGCCACTAGATACAGAGGCCAGAAAATAGTAGCACTCACGCCTTTAATCCTAGCGTTCCAGAGGGAGAAATCCATCTGGGATCTCTGTGAGTTCAAGGCCACATTGGAAAGAGCCAGGCATGGTGACACACGCCTTTAATCCCAGGGAGTGATGGTAGAAGGCAGAAAGATATATAAGGCGTGAGGACCAGGAACTAGAAGCATTTGGCTGGTTAAGCTTTTAGATGGTTAAGCTTCAGGCTTTCGAGCAGCAGTTCAGCTGAGATCCATTGGGATGAGGAACACAGAAGCATCCAGTCTGAGGAAACAAGACCATCTAAGAAGTTGGCCAGGTAAGGTTAGCTGTGGCTTGTTCTGTCTCTTTGATCTTCTAGAATTCACCCCAATATCTAGTCTGGGTTTGATTTTATTAATAAGAACTTTTTAAGATACATGCTACAGATTCTAGTGGCTCTGCCACATAACTGCACGTCCCTGAGTAACTGAGGTAGAGGAGAAGACTGCCAGATGGCGTCCTCCAAAGACTATGGAGAATCATGAAACAGACAGACACATTGGAGTCTAAGCAATCAAGTTATTGGATAACATTTACTATAACAGTAAAGAATATGTAATATACATCATAAAATATAGCAAGTGAAACTATTTGTAACAAATATGACAAAATAGAAGAACAGAAGGAATGTCATATAATAAGGTTTTCTAAATTATGGATAAGTGGGAGGTAGACAGAAACCCTCAAATGGAATGAGTTGGATCCTGAGAAGTTCTTACTCATGACTAAAGTTCATACTCTAAAACCATCACTTTGGGTTTCTCCACTGGTTGATGGTGACATGCTCAATATCTTTTAAAAAGGAATTCTCCTTTCTGGATAAAACCAGAAGATTCAAACAAATTCTGTTAAATGCTGTAAGTGGTCTCCAAAAACTGGTTTTCAGTAGAATAATATAGAAAGTGAAGGATGTAGCCCAATGGAGTTCTGGGGACTCATGTCTCAAATTACTGAAAAAATCATGGGCAGGAAGATAGCTTGGCCAACCAGAAGCTGACTCAATCATCATCCTCCAGTTTTTGGTTCTGTAGAACACTATGACCTTCGATGGTACTGGATGCGGAAGTTGTTCCATTGCTCACTGCTAAATGAAACATAAAATGTCATCTTGATAAAAAGATTGTTAGATTATAGAGTCACATCAATTCAGATAATTTTCTGTGTATTTCCTCAAGTCAATAAGACAAATACCACCAAGCCAAGAAAATCAACTACAAACCTCATCTCAGCTCTACACAGTGAATTACTTGGTTCACACTCTACCTGAATTTGAATGAAATTGAACTGTTGATTGTGGTAAATTTTAACCTCTTGATCATTCTTCACATATCTATTGTAGTGATTCTGTGTCATTTAATATTTACACCAATGCTAAGTATTTGATAAGATTGATCTCTGTTATGAAATCAAACTAACAATATTGTTTATGCACAAGGATAGCACAGTTCATAGACAGTAGCAGAGGGCTTTATCTTCCAAAATGTTTGACAGATTTTAAACAAATCATTGTAAATTATCTTTTCAAAACTAACAATTTCAATATCCAAGATATCCACCATGACTCATGTACCATGGAAAAGAAAGGTGAGAAATATAGCAAGCAATATTCTGGGGTACTTACAATGATTAAATTAGGAGTTCATCTGTCATATATTTACATATTAATATACACATGTCATATACATATATTCATGTGTGTGTATATAAGTATGTGTATATATTTATATGTGTGTATAAATGTGTGTATATGCATATATATGTATGTAATTCAGTTAAAGTGTTATTTAAAAAACTTTCCCCATGCTGTGACATCATGATGTGCCCAATGCTGCTGAGAGGTCACATACAACTTTATGGAATCAGGGAATGGTGTCATCCTTCCATTCACTTGATGATGATTTAAAACTTTCCCTTACATGCAGGACAGTCCTCCTGAGGAGGAGCAGATGGACTCTTGAATACTTTATCATCACCATTAGGACAGGTCCTTTTACAGGACAGCCACTGTGGTCATCACTGGCATCCTTCATGTCGTCAGACTCACCATCATACAGTGAATCTGAAGACATTTCTATGTCATCACAACTCTTTCCGATGTCTTCAGGAAGTACAGTGGTATCTTCTCCAAATATCCCTTGAAAATTCTCAATAAGAATTTCTACAATGGAGACCTGTAACACCACAAGGCAAAAACAGGATCCTCTGTCATTCCACATAGTTTACATATTTGACATCAGAGTCTTGAAAGGAAGAAAAACTTGAAATCCAGAATTATGAAGAGAATAGCAGTTACTCTAAACAGATATGAACCCATGAAATGACTATGGATATTATGGACATGTATTTAATTATACAATCAGTATAATACATTATAATAAATAGAAAAAGCTTCAATATTTCAAAAGTTTCAATATCATTGCAATGACTAATGTTTTGTTTCCTTCTTAATGGTGCATGCGTGTGCCTCTCTCTCTCTCTCTCTCTCTCTCTCTCTCTCTCTCTCTCTCTCTCTCTCTGTGTGTGTGCCTCTGTGTGTGTGTGTGTGTGTGTGTGTGTGTGTGTGTGTGTGTGTGCAGTTATATGACCTTGTGAGTACTTGATGGCCATGGAAACTAGAAAAGGTGGTCAGATGCTTGAGGCTGAGACTTCAGGCAGTTGTAGAGTACCAGACATGGGTGATAAGAGACCCAACTCAGGTCCCCTGCAAGAGTCCTATTGACACCTGAGACATGTATCTCTCCCCCTGGAAATTTCTTACTGTTAACCTGACTAAATTGTGATTTACCTTGCACACACACACACACACACACACACACACACACACACACACACACACACAAAACCCTCCAGGTATGTCTGTGTGTATTTCTAGACAGCCTTAAATGAGGAGGTAAGTCTTCCCAAATCCACTGATGTATGTCCCAGATTGACTAAAAAGAATAAACAATGTTGAAATCACCTAAGCACCAGCTTTTATTTCCTTTTGCAAGCATACTGCTGTTTTCCAAGGTCTCTGTCTGGAATGGAGATTCTAGGATCTTTGCATCTTATTAAAATATTTTGTTAAAATTTTATACATATTGCAAAGAAAAAGAAACTACTAGAAAGCAAACAGACATTTCAGAACTGATATGCTGCCAAGAGGAACTGGAATGAATTGAATTGGTGACTTTACAGGTACCATGATTACCCCTTGGTTTTGTTTGTTTGTTATTTGTTTGTTTGTTTTGAGATGAGAAGGAGGAGGAGTTTGGTTGCAGTGGTTTGAATGGGATGCCCCTCTAATTTCAGGTATCTCAAAACTTGATGTCCTCTTTTTGACACCATTTGGGTGGTTTGGGTTCCTGTAGGAAGTACGTCATTGGTTGGAACTTAGGGTTTCAAAACCCATGAGCCGTTTCCACTGTACTCTCTCTGCTTCATGTTTGCTGTCCAAGACAAGAACCTCAGCTCTCAGCTTCCTGTTTGAGTTGCTCTGTCTGCTGGCAGCCATGCTCCTCTGCTGTGATTGTGAGGATTCTAATCTTGAAGCCCCAAATAAACACATGCTTCTAGAAGTGGCACACACCTTTAATCCTAGCACTCAGGAGGCAGAGGCAGGCAGATCTCTGTGAGTTCAAGGCCAGCCTGGGCTACAGAGTGAGTTCCAGGACAGGCTCCAAAGCTACACAGAGAAATCCTGTCTTGAAAAACCAAAAAAAAAAAAAAAAAAAAAAAAAAAAAAAAAAAAAAAAAAAAAATTTTTTTAAAAAAAAAAAAAAAAAAAAAAAAAAAAAAAAAAAAAAAAAAAAAGGAAATAAATGATTTACTTACTTCCAATCCACATTCTCAATTTCCCTTCCCAAAGCTCTCTGAAATAGACCATTTCCGTTTCCACCTCACAAGAATGCAATTCAAGCTGGAAGTGGTGGCACACACCTTTAATACCAACACCAGGAGGCAGAGACAGGTGGATCTCTGTGAGTTCGAGGCCAGCCTGGTCTACAGAGCAGGTTACAGGACAGGCTCCAAAGTTACACAGAGAAACCCTGTCTCAAAAAACAAAACCAACCAACCAACCAACCAAACAAACAAACAAAAAGAATGCAATTCAAGAGTGTCCATTAACAGCAATGATCTGTCCAAGGTATGCCCAATTTCTGGATCACAGTGGAGACTTTGTTCCCAAAGGCAGAGAACAAGTACCCTTACCTTTTTTGAGAGATCATCTCCAAATCCCGAGCTGTAAGAAGTAGGCCTCCATAGAAGATTAGGGGCTATGCGAACTGACAATCCATAAGCGTCCATGTGATTAATGGAAGAATGACTTTTAATCTTGTATAATACACTCATAAGGTGTCTTAAGAGAATGAAATTAGGTTTTGGTATCTGTGATAAAAGACTAAACAGAAAAAAATGGGGCAGTTATGTTTGTTTGTCCTACAAGTAACGTTATTTATGAATCTGTAAATACCAAGAGAAAGAAGGATAAATCTTTTGTAGACTAGTTCATAGAACTAGCAGAATTCAAAAGAAGTCAAGAATATAGCTAAAGTATTGCCCAAGATATTTTCTGCAAACCACTTCTGTGTAGAGAACCATGGGAATTTTTTGAAAATCATGTATGTGTGTCTGTGCACCACATGTGTACTTGTTACAAACAGTCATGTGGGTCCTGGGAATGGAAACATCCAGAGATGCTAAACACGGAACCATCTGCCCTCTCCAGACACCATGGAGACAGACACATGTAATATGTAACTTCATATGAACACATGTAACAATCATTTGTCATTCTAGAATGTGATGAGCTGAACAGGACTGATGAAACTAAGCCTTACACTTATAAAAGCTGCTTCTATAGATAAGGCTGAGATGCTAGAGTCCTGGCTGGTAATAGGAGCTCAAAGCTCCTCTGTTACCTAAGAAATCATTCTATGGAGTATTGTACTGGAAAATGTTTCAAAGAAGTTGAAGTTGAACCTAACCTAGACTTCTCTAGCTTACTAGAGTTCAGCAAGTTGAATTCAGTAACAGCTCTATATACCAATCAATGTCAGATATTCAGCATGTGAAATATCATTAAATACTCCATGGCAATTTTAGGACAGAAATAACCCACAGGCATCATACACACATAGGCACACGCATCCACACACATGCACATATGCACAAACACACACAGACACACATACACACCTTTTAATTTGTCTCATGCAGGAACTCAAAACTGTATTCTATACTGGCCTGGACCCAAATATCTAGCCGAGGCTGTCTGCCAAACCATGACAATTATAATGTTGCAGCCTTCCAGATAGTGAGATTACAGGCATGAGGCAACACACATGAGTGAGAAATGCATCTGTTTATAAAGTGTCTCTTTTGTGTGAGCAAAAGAAACCTCTTGGCATGGGACATCCTTTCAGTGAGAATCATGTAAATACAAGCTAACATACCTCTAAGAATATATTGCTTCTCTTTTGTGTTGTTCCTCAAGTAATTAATGTATCATTACCTTTGGATAGCAGCAATATTTTGATTCAGAAATCCTTTATCAGGGACTTCAAGCCATTTTTCATATAGGTCAGAACAAAGCAAGCTTCCTTGTATATGTCGAACAAATTCCTTATATTAAAAAAAAGAATCACAATGGTCAATATACATTGGAGAAATTATTGAGAAACATTTTTGTTGAAAAGTATCAGCTTAGAACAGTGATTCGTGGCCTGTGAGTCCTGACTCCTTTTGAGTTTGCATATCAGACATTTAAGTTATAATTCATAAAATTACAGATATGAAGTAGCAACAAAATAATTTTATGGCTAAGGGTTACCACAACATGAGGAACTGTATTAAAGGGTCAGAGAATTAGGAAGGTTGAGAACCACTGGATTAGACCCCACTTCTTTAAGGAATTCTCAATGTATCATTTACCCAGCATCTCAGCTCAACTGTGGAACCCAGAAGCAGGAGCTTGGGTTTTCTCACCTAAGAGTCTGGATGTGGTGGCAATAAAATAAACCTACTCTCTGCTAAAAGTGCTCATCCTGGATATAAGCAACCAGAAAAAAGGGCAGGGTCGGTAAACACCTCATCCTGATTCTACAATTTGATGAATCAGAACTTTTAATTCAAATTCATGGTAAGAAAAGTCCTAATGTGCATGTAGAGCTCTGCTTACAGACACACTTGGAGTAGGGCTGAATTTTCTCACCTGACCTCCTTGTGTCCCATTTGAGAATTTCTGTTTCACAGTCACTCCCTTAACTGTGCAAAAATTCAACTCTTTAAATTGTAAGCAGCAGCTTGTGTGATGGACGGCAAAATCCCTTTATCTGATTCCTTCTAAACCCAAGGTTTGATCATGTATATACTGCACTTTCAAAAAGCTAGCACACTTATGTGTGAGGCTTAGGTGGGTATGATATTACACACTTAAAATCTCAGAACTCAGAATGATGCAGTGAGACCTTAGGTTAGAGGTTAGAGAGGGTTTCAAAGACAGATGAATCTCTAAATAAATGACCAAACTAAAATAAAATGGGAGGAATCTCTAAATATGTTTGGTAAGAAAAAGAGCCAGATATGAAATTACCTAAAATAGCTTAACATGTACACATATACTTTTCTCAATAAATAGCCAAGAACAGCTCAGGTTTAACTACTTCAGGAAACACCACCATCAACTTTCATATTCATGATTCAGTAAAGGTTGATGGGGGAATATCTCTCTGTACGCTGTGAATATGTGTTTCTCTGATTGGTTGACAAAGCCATTCAGCCTATGGCAAGGCAGCTTAGAGGCAGGTGGGAAATTCAAAAGGAGAGACAGGAAGAAGGTGGGGGGAGAGGCCAGCCCACCATCCAGGGAGCAGCACACAGGTAAAGCCACAGAACATGTGGCAACATATAGATGAACAGAAATGGACTGAATTTAAATATGAGAGCTGTTTAGTGGAAAGCCTGAGCTAATGGCCAAACACTTTTAATTAATATAAGCCTCTGTGTGTTTACGTGGGGAAGACCAGTAGGAGAGATTTGTCTCGACCACCAGCTGGCCGGGTCACAGAAAATCTTCCAGCTACAAAAGGTTGACTCATTTTAGTGTTTCCTGATCTGTAAAGGGTCAAGAATGGGTTGAAGCACTAAGGATAGAAAAATGAGAAAAATAGACAAATCCTACGTCTTCTTGTACCTTTAATGGGCTATGAGTGCAAGGACTGCTTTGGTAGTCACTGGTCTTCACTTTCTTCCCCATTGTGTGGTCTCAACTTTCTGGCATTGAGAGCAAGTCACACCTGGCAACCTCTGGGGTCAAGAAGGGATCAAGGGGTACGTTTACATGATGTTACTATCCTTGCCTACACTCAGGCATTATCTCTCCCCTTGATGTCTGGGGCCAATGCTCCAGAGTCTACTGAGTGGTGAACTCAGAACAAGGCTCAGTTAAAATAAACCAATAGTATTTGCTGTAGAGCCACTGCTTATAGACAGCTCCATGGCAAGTTCAATGTGGTAGACTCTTCATGAGTAGCTTAGGCTAATCCTTGATTATCTGACACAGGATTAGGATGGCAATGTCTTGTAAATGTGAAAGTACTTATTTATTTTTTGGTAGTGATGGAAACAATTTCATGTCTGTACTTGGCAACATCCAACTCTCTGTGAACCTATTACAGGTCATTGGTGGACTAGCCATTGTGTTGTAGTTGAAGGATATATATATTTGTAAACCACTTTCCCCACTATTACTACTGTTTTTTTTTTTTTGGTTTTTTGAGATAGGGTTTCTATGTGTAGCTTTGCGCCTCTCTTGGGACTCACTTGGTAGTCCAGGCTGGCCTCGAACTCACAGAGATCCGCCTGCCTCTGCCTCCTGAGTGCTGGGATTAAAGGCGTGCACCACCACCCGGCCTATTACTACTTTTTTTATTTCCTCACGTGGTGTGGTCAGAGGTGAAATCAGTGGAGTCCTTTGCAATGGCAAACCAAAGCACACCTAACATATGGGGACGTTAACTTCTAACAGAAGGCTCTTCAACTGTGTCTTTGTGAAAATCCTTTAGCTTGTCAGACTTTTATCTACCAGGCCTCTTATCCTTAGGTCATTATGTGAAGGAAACTATCATCATCAGTTTATCTCAAGGAAGGAAAGTACTTATGCATCTCTAGAGGGATGCTGAGTGTGGAGGATGCTAAACTTTCTTTACCTTTAAGACAGATGCAACAACAAGGACAGATTCCTCAGTCAAGTTGACTTCCTCCCCATTATCAAGCTTTTCTTTAAGGGTTCGGAAAGATTTGTTGGACATTGTTCTGAAGGTCTTCTCCGTATGTAGTCCCTTTTCCTCAATAATAGAGAGCATGTCCTGTGTGAGGTAAAGAAAAGCTTCAGTTATTATAGATCCACGCTTTTGAAGCACCAGTGTGTCTCTTACTGAGAACCAGAGCAAGGGCAGGCATGGGTGCAGAGCTACACCTGGGAGGAAGGAAGATTTTGAATTTTTTCTTTCATTTTTTTGTTTCTTTTTATAGCTTCTAGATATATCTTCTCCCCTAATTACTTTTTCCTAATTTGAAACATTGGGGTTTTGTTGGAATCAGTTATTCCTCGGCACTGACTCACACTTCTGTCCCCAAGTGTTTTGATGAATGGTCCCCTCTTACTCTTGCCTTCTCTTCTATGAACATCTTTCCCACACCTGCCTTTCTCAGTTACTATTGGTATATTTCCCTTCCAGTGTCCCAGCTGTTATTATTACTTCCTGTCTGTCCTGGGTCCTGTTATGAGTCTTAAAACCTGTGTTTTTAAGAAAGCTTTATCTTGTTATACTTCCTTTGACAGAGACTTTCATTTCCTTTGTCTGTGACTTTTCTTTTCAACTATTAATGTCATAAGGTGTTGTCACAGTCAAGGACCCAAGGGAATATCAATTCGTCTTCCATGTTTTCAGTATGTAAAAATGATTACCATACATAACCTTTACTGAATATTTTCTCTATTTTCAAATTTGGGATGATCATAATGGTTACCAGAAAATTTTGTAAAATACACAAGGTGTGGACAGTAATTATCGTGTCTCTGACACGACAAGCTTGTTCATATGCAGCATAAATTCCTGAAACTGAGTATAGAGCTAAAATGGATGCCACATACTTAAAGTGTATTTTCAATGGCAATTTAGTAACATTTAAAATAGCTCATGTCATATAGGGTGGCTTGTAAATACATTCTACTAGGATGAAATGGTTAATACATACCACAGAACAATGCTTATACATACTTCCTTTATAATACAAAAGAAAACACCCTAGATATTTTGAATTATAAAGTGGAATAATCTCAGTGGCAATGATACTAAGGAAGAATCCAGAGTAATTCAGAGTCATGAAAGAAGCTGGAAGAGTTGAGGTTTGGGACTCAGAGGGTCTCACCCATAGACCTACTTCCTCCAATAAGCTGGTGGGTTTGGGTCTTTATGGAAAATAGTGGAAGACGTGGAAACACTGTAGGTTTTTGTTATTTTTTTCCAGTTTTCTTGAATTACATGGTTTTAACTTCTGCAGAATTAATTTTTTGAGGCAGTATTTTAAAAGGATCTCACTCTCATGGACAGATTATCTAGACATTCATTAGTCTTACAATTCACTGAAAACAGAGGTTTCCGGAAATTATGTTGAACAGGAGAGCTGTAGACACCCAGAGTGAAACTCACCAGTATTGGAGTAGGCAGACTGCCATCCTCACACACACTCAGGAGAGACATCCCAAAGAGGTGTCTCTTATGGGTGGTAATGGGGTGTCAGAATTTACAGCAAAGAGTTCCTCACTTGATGGCGATTGGATGTCAGAATTTCCAACAAGTTCCTTGTTTGGTGCTAGTGGGTTATCAGAATTTCCAGTGGGGTGTTCCTCATTTGGTGCTGGTGGAATTAAGCACACGTTGTCTTGGCTGATATCAGAGCCCCATGTAATCATCAAATGTATTAAAGACATTTTGACATGTTCCTCAGAATCTAAAAAAGGGAAATCACTGTATGTTATAATTGGACTCACTTAACGCTTCCATGCCTTTTCATTTTATAGCTTACATACCTTCAGCATCACCATGACACACAGACAAGAACCAATAATATAACATTTATAATAATGAGACTGCATCCCGAGGGACATGATACCTAGCTGCATATGTCCCATACTTGTAGGTATAATTGTAGGGAAAAGGGGCTGGCTAAAGAAACATACCTTGACCCTGGAGCCCAGAACTAGGGAAAGATGGCTCCAATGAGGGCAGAAAGAAATACAGTTTGGCTCAGTAAGATCAGAGCCATCTCTGCCCTGGCCAACTGACTTGTGAAACCAACCAATCATAGAGCAGGATAGTAGAACCCTGGGCCTGGGGTTGACTCCACCCCCAAGACTTCCTGTGTAAACTGCCCTGCCTAGTCGGTTAGAAAAAAAGGCTGTTCTCTCCACCCTGGTAGAGGTAGCTACTCTCCTGGACTCTTTCCAAATAAATCTCTTTCTCAAAAGAGTTCTTTGGGTATGAAGATCTTCATTCACTAGCATAGAGAAGATCCTTGCTGAGACTTCCCCCAGTGGACAAAATAAGGGAGAGCTGAAAGAGTAGGGCAAGGAGGAGCTGAACAGATCTTTGCCAAGATCTTCTCAATGGACACAGCAAGCTGAAAAGTAAGACTTTTCTCCAGAGCGGAAGGAGATTGCTACATTTCTGCAGGGGTTTCCCCTTTTGCACAGTGAAGCAAAAGAAGCAACATCTTAGGCCGGAGAAGCAGAGCTCTGCTAGGAAGCTCCCTTATGTGGGGGCTGAGCAAAGCTCAGCTGTAGAGGCTCTCCAGGAGAGGAGTAGGATTGCTATATCCTGCAGGGAGACCATCCCCCCATTTTACTAGGTATACCTTGACTTTCCCAAAGAGTCAGGATACCCTTCCCTGCTGAAGCAGTTCCAGGCCTGACTCTCCCAAGAAGTCAGAAAACTTTCCCTTCCAGGGTTGGGCTGCTTCTTTGCAGTTCCAGCAGTTAGAGCTGTGCTAAATAGCTCTAGTTGTCTGGGACACCTTCAGGGCAGAGCTGTTGTTCTGAGCAGCTTGAGGTGTCTGGGATACCTCCCCCTCTAGGGATGAACTGTCTCCTTGCAGTTCAGACATCAGAGCTGTCCTAAGCAGCTCAAGGTGTTGCCTGACTCCCCAGGAAGTCAGGACACATTTCCCCAGAGTTGCTTCAACCAATTTACCTACATTTTTGGTGCCGAAACCCAAGACATAAAACCCAAAGAGTTGCAACCAATTTACTTACAATAATCAGTAATTTCTGGTGTTTGTCTTGAAAGCTATGCATATAGGTATTAGAATCAAGCAGTGATGTAGTATACAATCTGAGTCCTCCTGTGTGAATTCTTGACTGAACAGCCATGGGCAATAATTGGGACTATGCGGGGGTCCAGCCCATTGATAGACCTCTCCCAGGGTCTGGGAAGAATCTACAACTAGCTGATAATCTAATCTTTGACAATATTAAATGAATCTATGCACATGAAACTCTTTAGTTCATATGCTTTATTTTTCTGAGTCAGTTCTCTACATAGCTTCTTTTCTTTTCTTTTTCTTTTTCTTTTTTTTTTTTTTTGGTAGTCCAGGCTGGCCTCAAACTCACAGAGATCTGCCTGCCTCTGCCTCCTGAGTGCTGGGATTAAAGGCGTGCGCCAACGCTGCCGCCAACGCCAACGCCACTGCTGCCACCCGGCTTCTTTTCTGTTTTTATACTTAGCTCCTCTCTGTTCCTTCTCTTCCTGTCCTGTCATTGTCCTAGTTCCTACTAAGCTCTTTCCATCTCAACTTCATCTTCATCTCTGTCTGTTTCTCTGTCCATCTTCCTTACTTCCTCTCCTGCTCTCAAGACCCAACTCAATCCATCTACAATCTGCAAAAACTCTGCCTTGTTGCTTTCTCCTTGGGCTAGGAATCTTGTCTCAATTGCTTTCCTCTACCTGGTATGCAAAAAAAAAAAAAAAAAATACCCTTTGTCCTGGGTCAATTGCTCTGGAATGCCACTTGGCCTGTGAGAGGAAGGGGTGTGTGTGTGTGTGTCCTGGGCTTCATCTGCACAAGAAATAAGGCTATGCACCTAGCCTGTCTCCAAGGTGGTGTCTCTAGAAGGGTGTTTACCTTAATTCAGGAGACCATTTGCCATTACAGCCTAGGCTGCTTGAGAAGAATTTTAGGAAAAATACACTGTTAAAAGTTCCTGGGAAGTTATGAGTGCATATGAAATTAATAGCAGAAGACAGCTGATATATTAAAAGAAAAATAATGCCAAATACTCATTGATATTTGGCTTAATCCTCTCAAAGGCCCTTAGCTTCTTCCAGGTATTAGCTTTTCCATATTCAGCTGAATTCCTACTATATTCCTGTGCCTAGAAACAGGGCAACTATAATTTAAGAGCAGTATCTGCACTTCATCTCATAACTTGCCTGACTAAATTTCTCTGACAGTCTTTAACTTTTCTCCCTTGAACTATGAGATCAATTCTGAGGTCATAGCATTCCTATGGGTATATTATGCTATATGAAGACTTCCAAAAGAACATGCATGGTGGTGCACACCTTTAATCCCAGTTTTCAGGAGGTAGAGCCAAAAGGATCTCTGTGAGTTTGTGACCACCCTGCTCTACAAAGCTAGTTCCAAGACAGTCAGGGTTGTTAAAGAGAGAAACCCTGACTGGCAAAATTGAGTGGCTATTCTGAGTATTATAAAAATCACTCAGGAGTCAAGATATCAAGGTACATAATATTTCTCCACATATTCTTAATTGATTATATATTTGGCACTTCTAGGATTTACTTCTTACATAAATTCAGGACCACTGTGAAGAAGGAATGACATTTTACAGGCAGTTTCTGACAACGGGAAAGCACCTGTAATGTATAGGTGAAGTTTCACTTCACAATCAGACTCCCAATCGCTGTGCTGTGGGATGTCTTTCTGTATGCTGTGAATATGTGTTGCTCTGATTGGTTGATAAATAAAGCTGTTTGGCCAATGATGAGGCAGAATAAGGTGAAGCAGTGCATTTGAACCAGAGAGAGGAGAAGAAAAGGAGAGTGGGGCAGACGCTGTGAGCTACCACTAGGAGAAGCGAGATGTGAAAGTAATGGTAAGCCACAATGGTACATGTCAATGCATCGATTAACAGAAATGGGCTGGGTTGAGCTGTAAGAGCTAGCTAGCGAGAAGCCTGAGCCATTAGGCCATACAGTTTGTAAATAATATAAGCCTCTGTATGCTTACTTGGAACCAAGTGGCTGTGGGACACAAGTGGGAGAGATTCATCCTGGCTGTGGGGCCAGGCAGGACCGAAGAAACTTTCAGCTACATAGCTGTTTGTTGTAAATGATGTTTTCAGGTGATAAATGTGTCTAACTCATAGATTAAGGTAATAGAACATCTATACTTACCTATAATTCCCTCACTGTGGAGAAGAGCAGTTGGACTTATGGGCACTGCATCATTGCCTGTGGGTCTTGTCCTCCCACTGGGACAGAGGTTGTCTTCTTGTTCCTTCTCCTCTGTCTCAACAATGTCAGTTGGAGTGTCCAGGGAATTGTAAGCCTTCTCCCCATCAGGGCAAACAATGAGTTCTCATAATGAGATGAAATGTCTTCTCCAAATATTTTTGGATAATTCTCAATAAGGAATTTAACAAGAGAAATCTGTGACAAAACAAGGCAAATACTAAGGGTCTCTGTCATTTCACATGGTTGTAAATCATATATATGAGCCTTAGGCTAAAAGTATGTAGTTCAAAATTCAGATAAAAAGTCAACTTCTATAAAATATGAGGGGGGATGGGCACTGTTAGAAATATGAAAGAAGATTTTTGAGATCAGATGATAAAGTGTGATCATTACAGTGCAATACTATATAAGAGGATGATTTCTAATGCTCCCAATATGATGACTGGTATATACTGTTAACTTGAGTAACTTTTGTTCCACTTGTGACAGACATGACTGAGCATGTCTGTAAGGATGCTTACAGAAAAGTACAGTTAAGGAGGGAAGACTAACCCTCAATGTGGGCTCCATCCTATTGAAAGTTCCTACTGGGTGACTAAAAATGAAGAGACAGGCAAAGCCAACGGAGCAACAGCGTTCATGTGTCTCTGATTGCTCAGTGCAAGTACAATGTGCAACAGCTTGACAAACAGGTTCATTATTATCAGTAACTTTGTAACTCTGTGGGCTTGGTCCCAGGTTTGGGCACCAAAATATAAGTAAGTTTGTTGCAACTCGGGGGTGGGGGTTGCTTGGGGCTACAGACAGCTGCCTGGAGCTGCAAAGAGACAATTCAGCCCAGGAAAGTGAGGTATCCTGGACACCTCAAACTGCTTAGAACAGCTCTGCTCTGGAGGTGTCCCGGACACCCTGAACTGCTTAGGACAGCTCTGGTGGCTGGAGCTTCAAAAAGACAGCTCATCCCTGGATGGGGAAGTTATTCTGACTGCTCGGGAGAGTCAGGCATGGAACTGCTTCATCAGGGAAGGATATCCTGACTGTTTGGGAGAGTCAGGCTATACCTGGTGTGGTGGGGCATGGTCTCCCCGCAGGATATAGCAAGCTTGCTCCTCTTCTGGAGAGCTGCTACAGCTGAGCTTTGCTCAGCCCCACTTAAGAGGGCTTCCTAGCAGAGCTCAGCTTCTCCAGCCTAAGAAGTTACTTTTTGCTTCACTCTGCAAAAGGAGAAACCCCTGCAGAAATGTAGCAATCTCTTCTGGCTCCAGAGCAAAGTGTTACTTTTTCAGCTCTCCTTTGCTCAGTCCACTGTGGGAAGTCTCAACAAAGATCTTCTATTCAGCTCCTCTTTGCTCAGTCCATTGTGGGACATCTCAGCAAGATCTTCAGTGTGCCAGTGAATTAAGATCTTTGCACCCAAAACTCTTTTGAGAAAGAGATTTATTTGTGAAGCAGGAGTCCAGGAGAGTATCTACCTCTACCAGAGTGGAGAGAAGAGCCCCCAACTGACCAGGCAGGGCAGTTTATATAGGAGGTCTGGGGGGCAGAGTCAACAGGGATTGGCTAGATTTCTTCTGCCCAGGGATTGATCAGTTTTGTGGGCTAGGGGCAGAGATGGCCCTGACTTCAGAGCCAAACTGTTTCTTTCACTGGCCTTTCTCAGCTTTTTGACACTAATTCTAAGGCCAGGGCACATTCTTTCACTGACTCTGATTCCAGAGACCAAGAATGTTACTTTGGTACTGGTGTCAGAGTCAGGGCATGTTTCTTTAGTTCTGGGTTTGAGGATAAAGTGTTCATTTCTCTGGCTCAGGTCCCAAACCCAGGCTGTGTTTCTTTCCCTGGTCCTGGGCTCCAGGGTCAGGGTGCTACTTTCCTGCTCTGTGATTGGTTGGTTTCACAGGTCAGTTGTCCAGGAGCAGAGATGACTCTGATCTGAGCCTAACTGTATTTCTTTCTGTCCTGATCTGAGCCATCTTTCCCTAGTTCTGGGCTCCAGGGTCAGGGTGGGTTTCTTTAGCCAGCCCCCTTTCCCTACAATTATATTGGGAAATATTTGATGTAAGGCCTATTTGGAGTGAAGTAGATAATTGTGGATCTGCAATGACAGGTTGTTTGGAACTCTAGCTTTCTCTTCCACTCATTAATTCTATACAATATGAGGAAAAGATGTCCTGAGTCATGTCTTCCTGTGATGTACTTCTTAGAGGCCCAAGAGCAATTGCTCAATCAATAGTTAATCAGAAACCCAAATACTGAGAGTCATAAATTGTGATATTTTATTACAGTATTTGAAATGTGTTTGCCATAGAAAAGTGTCTCTAATCCAACCATAATCAGCAACAAGAGGCCAAGGATATATTTAATCACACTACCATATTTCAGAACAACATATCTGATAAAACAATCCATATTGCCTTTGTTTCATTGGGAAACCACCTTGAAAACAATTAGAAATTCACACATTCCTCAGTGATGACATCAAGGGTTCAGTCTTGATTTTCTAATCCAGCACCCATGTTTTCTTATCATTTTTTTTTAAGATTTATTTATTTATTTATTATGTATACAGTATTCTGCCTGCATGTATCCCTGCAGGCCAGAAGAGGGTGCCAGGTCTCATTACAGATGGTTGTGAGCCACCATGTGGTTGCTGGGAATTGAACTCAGGACCTTTGGAAGAGCAAGCAGTGCTCTTAACCTCTGAGCCATCTCTCCAGCCCCGTTTTCTTATCATTTTACAAGACTAGTTCTCAGTGGATTAGTCTAACAACATTCTAAATCGCAGTCGACAAAGGACTGAGTCACTGAGCTCAAATACCCATTTAAATTCCACTTACTCAAAATCCACAAATGATTTTTCCTTTCCAGATGAATGAAAATCAAGGGTGCACTCATTTCAAAAACAAAAACAAATAAACAACAACAACAACAACAACAACAACAAAAACCCAAACCCCAGACTCTCAGGATAATCCTGTATTCCTATCTCATTGTGAAGACGTGTTTACTCTAGGCATAAAATATGTCTCATTACCTTTTTGGTGATATCTGCCAATCTTGAGTTGCAGGAACTAGGCAGGCATAGAATACATAGGGCTATGCAAATGGCTAAATTAGAAGATGTCATGTGGTTGACTTCAGAGTTTCTCTCAATTTTGTATAATATTCTGAAAAGTTGTTTCAAAAGAATGGCATTCAGTTGGGGTAGTTGCTCTAGAAGACTGAACACAGAGACAACTTATTTTAAAACAATAAAATTTACTCATGAAATTGTAAATATAAAGAAAGGGAATGAGTAATTGTATCTTATTCATGGTCCCCTGAGAATAAAATGGAAGGAGGAATGTGTCCTACAAATTATGCTTGAAATATCTCCCCAAAGTCAGAAAAAAAAGACAAATTTAATTGATATGTGCACACACACACACACACACACACACACACACACACACACACACACGTTACATAAATGCTGAGATTAAAAGCATGGGCCATTGTGACTAGCCAAGTCATACTTCTCCTTTCACAATGTCTTCTGTGTTGTGAACAATTGAAACCTTTTGTTGTCAGTCAATATGTTTAGTAAATGATTCTGTAGTATAGGATCTAATGTGTCTAAGCAAACATTATTCTTCTTTTGTTGGTGTTGCTCAGGAAATTAGTGAATCATTACCTCTGCACTGCAGCTACTTTCTTCTCTTCATACACTTGGTCGAGGACACCAAGCCATTCATCATATAGTCTAGATGTCAGCACACTTCCTGGTATATTTCTTAGAAACTCCTTACATACATAGAAAAAAAAATATTTTTGTGGAAAATATACATCACAGAAATTGCTCAAAATACTTTCAAAGTCCATCAAAACTAGAAACCTAAGAGCAGATTTTGGGTAGAGCACACTAGGACACACTTAAGAGATCAATACCTCATCTCAACTCTTACGTTCAAATGACAAACATATACATTACGGTAATTTCTCCATGATCACGGAGTTTTTGCTTCTTATCCTAATGACTCTGAAACAAGTGATCTAACTGCATGGACCCATGCACTCATAAGCAAAGGCTGGGTGAGCCTGGACTTTCTTTCATGTGCTTCGTTCTCCAAGAGAAAATGCTTGTAGTAACATTGTTGTAGAATATTTTAAGGTGTGTTACTCTTGTTTATGTTACATTTGTTTAACTCTGTGAAACTGTTACTGTGCCTGTCTAAAACACCTGATGGCCTAATAAAGAGTTGAATGGCCAGGAGGGAGACAGGAGAGAGAAATAGGTGGGGCTGGCAGGCAGAAAGAATACCTAGAAGGAGAAATCTGGGAAGGGGGAGATCAAGGAGCCAGAGAAGGATGAGGCCTCCAGGGTTCAGCCACCCCGCTACATAGCAAGCCATGGAGTAAAAAGTAAGATATACAGAAGTAAGAAAAGGAAAAGCCCAGAGGGAAAAGGTAGATGGCACAATCTAAAGATAAGAAAAGCTGGCAAGAAATAAGCCAAGTTAAGGCTGGGCTTTTATACTTAAGAATAAGCCTCGTGTGTAGTTTATTTGAGAACTGAGTGCCCCCCCCCCACACACACAAAAAAGAGCAAAAACAACAACATCCTCTAAGTTGCAGAGGAAATGGAATGTGTGTCTCTGTATAGTGACTGTCAAATAAATATCACAAGACTGAGCAACAGTATGGTTGCTTAAACAATATTCCTGAAAAAAAAATATCGTCCTAGGTAGCACTAACTTGGGATGGGGAAATTTCATGAAGCCAAACTTCTAGATGTACAACTACAGACACATAAATACTACTGAGAGTGGAAAAGTACGTCTTCCTCAAAGATGAACCCCCTAATTGGTAATCCAATACCAACTGGTGGCTAAGAAATAGTGCATATACTGCTAACCATAAGTGAACTCATCAGGTGGTTTTAACATTTTTATGGATGTATATGTATATATGTATGTAATAACAAAAATTAAAGAAAATGGACCCTGTATTTGAGAGGAAGTGGGAAGCTGATGGGAAACATGAGAACTTAGAGCAAGGAAAGGGAAGGAGTGAAATGATGTAATTTAAGTTGAATTTTAATAGTAACATAAAAGTATCATTTTGTGGGGCTGAAGAGATGGCTCAGTGATTAAGAATGCCAGCTTCAAAGCCATGAGGACCTGCATTTGGATCTCAACATTGCATGAGAGGGAGACAGGAAAATCATGGGATCTTACAGGCTATGTGTAGCCAAAGTGTATGTGGAGGAGATGCAAGCTCTACTAAGGAAGAAAAACTCGCCTCTCAGAAAAAACTTAAAGAGTGACAGAGAATGATGAAAACTGGTAACAAAACACATCTGACTAGGCATGTACACAGGTGACACTCATATGACTGTATAAAATGACCCTCCATACCCTATTATTATTTTGAAACCTGTTTTGCATGAGGAACAGAGGAATCAAATAAAAGATACTTAGTCACATTACCCTTCACTGTGACAGGTTTATGCTTGAACCCTTCTGTTGTGAGCATCAGAGGAACCTTTGGCTTATCAGACTACTATCAGTCCTGTCTACTGTCCTTCAAGAGTACACATGATGCAGGAAACTACTCACACCGATTGGGAGGAATCCTGAGTGTAGAGGATGCGAGGACTCGCCCTACCTTTAAGATAGATGCCACAACAGGGACACTTTCGTTGTTCAAGTTCACTTCTGTCCCAGAATCCAGCCTTTCTTTTAGGGATAGGAATGGTCTTATTTTGCCAGGTATGCTGAAGATACCTTCAGTGATTGGCCCCCTTACACCAATAAAGGATAGTATGTCCTGAGAAAAGAAAGAGAAACACCTGTCACTCCACTGGCAGCACAGAGCAGGTGTCCCTTCTTCTTGAGAACCAGGCTAATGGTGTGCGCAGGTGCAATGCCAGAGCTGGCGTGGACGAAGAGGACCTTGACCTGGTTTTGTTGCTTCTATCTCCTTTTGTACCCATCCCACCCTAATGTTAACCCTGAGACCTCAGGCATTGTTTATTTGTAATCAGATTTTCCACTACAGTAAAGTGATTTAATCCAACTTTTCCAGTACACCGTTTGTGGTGAATAGCCCTCTCTTACCTTCCTATTCTTAAGCCAATGATTTGATGCACACTTGCTTCTCCACTTGATGATAGAATCGAAGGGGGGAGGTATTTAGGAGAAGCAAGATTTTGTCCTCAGGGCAGCCAGAGAAGAACCATATGAGACCTACCAGAATTGCTGTGGGTAGATTGCCATCCTCACAAATGGCAGTCAGATCTTTTCCGAAGAGTTTTCCTGTCTTCACAACTGGCAGGGCTGTGCACACTTGGTCCTGGTGAGGTACAGAGCCCTTGTGGAACAACCAGGATATGAAAGGCCATCTTCTCTTAACTGTTGGCTCCTCTGTATCTAAAGAGGAGATGAGATCATTACACAGAGTAGTTTCATTTATGTAACCTTTGTCGCAGATTCCCAGTTTATAATGTACCTGGTGTAACGCATACAAAGAGGTTATCATTTTTGATATAAAATTCCCCACATTCTTAAGTTGGTTACTCATCCTGTCGTGTGTGTGTGTGTGTGTGTGTGTGTGTGTGTGTGTGTGTGTGTGTGTGTATTCTTCTCTA